CATGGCTACTCTGGCCACCATGACTCAGCCTGGCCATCAGCCACCATTAGCACTTGGAGAGTCTCTCGCAGGGACAGCTGTCTGCAAGCCTGCCTGCAGACAAGGTAAGGCTGACTAAAGCACAGACCAAACAGTGCCCTTGTGTGATGTGCTCTTAGATGTGGGGCAAATTTGGATAGTGAGAGTAGAGGGTAGAATTCATCAGGTGTCTGGTCTTTAGAGTCAAATAGCCATAGGTTTGTAGCCAGTCCTATCACTTATTTGCTGCAAGAGCCTCGTCGTCTGTAAAATGATGTAACCACACCCACCCCAGTGGAGACATTCTGAGGACCAAATGAAATAAGGTGTGGAAGGTCTGACATGGGGCTCTAGCCTCCAGCAGGGGCTCAGAAAGCATTACTTTCCTTTTCTAGTCTCCATGCTGTGTTCCTGTGCTTGCTGTTTCTTCCTCTTGAAAAGCCATTATCATGTTCCTTACTATCAAACTCCTACCCATCCCTCAAAACCCAATTCAATTCCTCTTCCTACATGAAAGCTTTCTGGTCCATCCAGCCAGACAGACCCACTACTTCCTGCTCACAACTTCCAGAATACATTACACAGGGCCATTTGGCCCTGCCAAGGGAGGAGGATCAGGGAAGGCCTCCTGGAAGAAGAGACATTCAAGCAGAGACCTCAAAGAAGGAGCAGGCAAAAAGGAACGAGCAGAGCATTCCAGACAGTGTGAACCATGTGTGCCAAGGTCAAGAAGCCAGACACAGCTTGGGGGATGAGAGGAATTCAAGTCCTATACCAGGGGCCTTCCCTGACCACTCTAGCTAAAAGAGCAACTCTATTCTTCATTGTCACCCCGCATGGATTTTCTTCACTACCAGCCAGTCACATTATGTGTTTATTTGTTGATTGCTGTGTCTCCAACTGGAATTTTAAGCTCACTAGAGCAGGTACCTTCTCTTCTTCAATGACTTCTGTATCCTCCTCATGGCTCATTATCACTGCTAGTTTAACAACTGCTAGATCCTGAGTTCCAAGACAGAAATTTGGCTATCTAATTCTCTATTACATCCCCAGCACAGGGCCAAGACACAGTAGGACCTTAATGAATATTTCTGATCAAATAAATATTGCCCAGAAGAGATATTCAACTCCTCAGTGAATGCAGGAATGGATGAGTGAATGCAGGTAGGCATGGATATATACACACAACACATGAATTGATTAATTCATGGATGAATACAGCTCTCACATTCATATCATCAAAGCCCAGAGGCTGACTCTGAGCTGCCCCACTTGGTCTTGTTAAGCTTCAGAGGTTTCTATCTCATCTTGGCCCTGGCCATTCAAAGCTTCTTTTCTTATCCACAGCAGCTGCGTTTCCATTGTCATAAGGGGCAGCAGGCCATTTCCCTTAAGCCCCTCTGTTCTGAGCCCTGGGAGCTCACCAGATTCCCAGCCCTCTTGGAAGAGGTCGGCTGACCCTGGTGCCTGGACCTCTTCTCATTGTAAGACATTTTTACAGGAGCCTTCTATGGGAATTGTCAGCATTCCATTCTCTCAGAGAGTGGGCTGTGTATTTGGCCCGTTTTTTATTAATTGCAAATTAATGCTGTGCTGGGTGTCTATTTTAGTAGACATGCTTCCAGAGTGCGGAATGCAGCCCAAAGCAGCACATTGCTCTCATTCTTTCTGCTGACCGACTGTGTGAATATTTTTAGAAGCCACACCCTCTCGCAGTGGCCAGATAATTTCCAAGGCCAGATGTGCTCTCTGCAAATCCACATCAGGCAGGGAAGGGGAGAGGAATGAGCTACATGGCTCTCCCCACCACTGCAGCGACATGTGACAAGTTTAAACCAGTAGCATTTATATAGGCTTCCTAGGCCAAAGTCCTCCACATTTGAAATGTGGAAAATGGATCCACACTTAGAGAGGCACCAGAGGGAGCTCCAAGAGAGGACCTTGCTGCTCATGTCCTGTTGGTTGGTGGCTCATGTGTCCGTGGTCCCCCAGGTCCAGACGCGGATGGCAGGGGCTCTCTTGAGCATGGAGGCCAGCTTGTGGCCATGTGTCTGCCTGCCTTTGTCAGCAAGGGTCCTTTCTAAATATGTTTCAGCAAAATGCTGAGTCAGGAAGAGTTGAGCATATACCACCAGAAGACAAATCAAGACCAGCTGAATCACATTTTCTAAAACCTTGGAAGTGGATGCGAGATGATGAAAAGATAATTTGCCCGGAAGTCAAACACATGAGTTCTAATCCCAGCTCGTCATTCCTTTATTCCAAAGTCAAACCATTTTGAAGTACCTACTGTGTGCCAAGCACTAGTCCACACTCTGGGGAAGCAAAGACACAATAATTTAGTCTAGACTGAGTCACTGTGTGGTCATGGGCATTATCATCTAGACTCTCTGGGTCTAATCATTAAAACAAGGGGTTGGAAAATGACCCCCAAAGTTCTTTGAAGATGTAGATTCTCAGATCTGAGTAGGATTCCTTAAACAAGGAGGAAAGGAATTAAAAAGTGTTGATAATGGGAAGATCTGGTTTCTCTTTGGGATGTATGTGTGCATGCGTACCCATGCTTTACCATGGGAAATGCCAGGATTAGAAATTCTTAAGGAAAAGTGTATGCCTAAGCCTTCATTGTTAATACTGTTTTGTGTGTGTGCTCTTTCCCTCCGTCATGCACAGGGACCCCAGGTTGAAGAACTTGGTGCAGGGGAACTGTCAGGCCCAACATCATTGCCCTTTTGCTTACACAAACGAAGCCATTCTTCTGGGCTCCTGCCTCACTGTTTCCCTGCACAACTGCTTTCAGAATTCTAATCATTCTTTTCCTCCATTAGGGAATTCTATGATTGCATAGAAAGCTATGTGTCTTATCACTTCTGGGAATACATCATGGGACCAAGGGGTCACACTGCACCATAGAACCCAATCCCTAGGCAAGAGGCTCACATTCCAGGCCTTGTAAAGATGACATTTAGTTTTGAGCGCTCAGGGGGCAGGTGGCAGGAAGAATCTGGAGAGGAAGTCAATAAGGTTGATGACACAAACCCTTAGAAAAATGTGGCCCTCAAGCCAGGACCAATTTTTCAGCCATGACCTGATCACCACTCCCCAGGACCTAGGCATCTTCAGAGCAGCTGACTTCTGGTTCAATTCCCTCTCCAGTGGCCAGCCACTTAAGCAGGCTCCCAGTATAGTAACAGTTAAGCGTGAATTGCTTTGATTGTAGTATTGTCTAAAATCTTCACGTTTGTTATTGACTCCCCAGGACTGGGTACAGGACATTGCACACAGTAACTGTTCAGAAAATATTCATCAAAAAAAAAAAAGAACAAATAAACAATAATCTGCAGAGATAGGAACTGGCATCCCTACTTGACAGATGAGGAAACTAAAGCCTAAATCATCATGAAACTTACCCCAAATACTGCCATTACTAAGGGGCAGGGTTGCAATATCTAACTCCAAAGTCACTGCTTTTAACTTTGACTCATTCGGACACAAGTGCTTAGTAGTTTACAAAACTAAACACAGAATGTCTCATTCACTACTCTAAGCAGGCCTGTGGGTAGTACTGTTACCCTATTTTACAGTTGAGGAAACAGGGTTAAGTGGTTTTCCCAGTGTCAAGAAGCTAGTAAGCCACACAGCCCGGAATTTCCTAACTCTATAACCAGTGCTCCTTCTAGAATAATCCAACCACTTTGCCAGAAATAGACCCTGAGATTCCAGTTCCTATTGCCATGGAGAACTACTTCGACCAACTATTTCCTCCTTATTCTATGGACTGCATGTGACTACGGTCAACCACTCTTCAAGAGCAAGAGGTCACTGGGTCATGGCTTCCAGGGGCCTCTCAAAGGATGATGGTGACTAATGGTTGCCGCCATGATCTGTACAGAGAATCCCAACACCAAAGCGACTCCATCCTTCCAAGCAAAGAAACAAGTCTCATCACACGCTCCTCCACTGATAGTAGCGACAACAAAAAATCATTCCCATGCTTTGTCCAGGGACCAGGGATAAGCCACTAACGTCACCAGCGGCCAATTGGAGGGCTCCTGCTGGTGCCGGGAGTACTCAGGCCGTTTCATAATGAAACCCATGCAGCGAGCTCCGTTTATTTTGAAACCTTATTTGCTTATTTTGTAGACGTGGTCAAAAGGACATTCAGAGGGCTCCCCGGGAGGCACTTGAACCCTGTGGGCCAGGAGAGCTTTCTCCAGCTCCAGCAGCAGCCAGCAATAATACTCTCTGTGTGAGTAAACTCCAGAACTTGCTATTTCCCAACAGCAAGCACCATCCCCATTTTGGTCAGCTTCCCAAGTCCATGGCTGGTTTCAGGAGTGGGAAGGTGGAGAGGGAGAAGTAGGAGACAGGGTGGAGAGTGACAAAGAAATGGCCAGGCAAAGAGTTCCAGCTCTAAAATAATTTAGGGCCCTGCTAGAAAATCAAGCAAAGCAACTTGAATTTGGGCTCATGAATCAGACAAACATGGGTTCAAATCCCAACTCCACTCTTTACCATTGGATTACCTTGGGCAAATTACTTAGTTTTCCTGTGCCTCGGTTGCCCTATCCGTGAAATTATGTAAATAACAGTACCTACCTTGTAGAGTTGTCATAAAGATTGAATTTAAGTGATATCAGGCAAAAATATAAAATACATATGTATCTATTGGTTGCTAAAAGTATTGTTATGGTGGTGATTTTAGACTACAAGCTTCCTGAGGAGAGACAGTGTATCTCAGTCATCTCATCTTACCCAGGGAGGAAGAACAATGCCCAGCATGCAGTAGGAGATCAATAACTGCTTGTCGAATTTAATTGTTTGAACTGGACTTTGAGCTCAAGCAAAGAGACTCTTCCCCACCAGCCTGCCAGGTAGGAAGTGGCTGCCTTATTTCCAGGCTGCGGCTTGGAGCAGGTTAAGCCTCCACAAGGCTGCAAGACCCAGGCCCTGCACATCCATCAACGAGACAAGAGCTTTACCTTAATATTGCAGTTGTCATCGAGCAGTATATTTTCCAGCTTCAAGTCCCGGTGGACCACACCGTTCTGAAATGAGAAGACAAAGAGGGAATTGAATGGGAGCGGCTGGGATGAGAACAAGAGAGAAAGAGGAAGAAGGAGGGTGCGCAAAGGGAAATGTCTGACAGATTAAAGAAATGCGCCAGCCCGGTGGTCTTCGCCTCCATCCTTCAGGCTGCTCTCACTGTCTTGACGCTCCCCCGCCAGCGACCGACCAGCGACAGGAGAGCATTAGTCACTTGCTGTGTGGTTAAGGGAAAAATGACTGGAATCTGTTTTCCCCCAGAGCCTGTAAAACAGCAGGGGGATTCTTTGTCGGAATGTAATTCCACTGTGTGAAAGCAATATAATCCCAGGCAGCGGCAAACAATGTCTGTCTGGGATGGGATTCCCAGGGAAGAACAGATTTCTCTGCTGGGGACTCAAGACTTGTGGGGCTCACAGGCACTCCTCGTCTGTCTGTCTGTCTGTCTGTCTGTGTGCCTGCCTGCCTCCCCAATGCTGGAAAGACATCTGGCTCAATCTATTGCGACCCATTTTGATCTGTCCTGAGGATAACATTTCCTAAGCAGCCTGGAGAGAAGGCTAAGAAAGTCCCTCTCTGCTCAGGACTCAGGGCTGGGTGAAAGGTGAAGCGTGAGCGCAGACCAGTGAGACCGGGACCACTGGCCTGACCGAAGCAGGTGGCTGCCGTCCTGCCTGACCTTTCCATTCAGGCAAACTCTGGCAAGGCTGGAGGCTGAACTTCAATGACCAGCAGCCAGCCAGCTGAAATGTGAAAAGCAGTCATCAGCCAATAGGCTGTCGGTCTACACAGCAGTAACCATTAGCCTTCTTCATTCTTTTTTAAGACTATCTTTTTTATTATCTTTTTAGGGGGTGGGTGAGCATGGGAAGAGCAGTGGGCCTGAAAGAACTGGCTATTTAGGGGTGCGTGGACAAGTAGCGGGGGGCACTGAATGATTCTGAACATCATTCAGCATAAAGGACATCTGCAATCAAAGCTGCTCTTTTGAGCAAACCAACAGGCATGTTGATGGGTGGTTCTTTCTTGTTTATTTTCCTTTTCATTTGACCATTCTTAATATCTCCAAAAGCACTGCTCTGAGGGAGGAATGAAAACATGTATTTCTACTAATCTTTTTCTAATTCAAGCCTGCAAGGAGGCCTTCTGAATTCAGAAATGCACAAAGCCAAGTCTCTTAGAAGAAAGATGTCGACTATAAGGCGCCTGATTCCATTAATTTTAAATATCAGGAGCAGTTTGGTTTACATTGCTTCATTCTTGATTTTCGTAATAAGATGGAATGAGTCTAATAAAGCCTCATTCATACAGAATCCAAGTGTTCACACTTCAAATCACAAAACTATCATCCCTATGGTGATTTACAATAATACCTGATGATGCAATACAAAATATTATACGATTCAAATCATGAGCACATTTTGAGTCAACAAAGAGAGGTCAAACAATGTTCACACGGGTTAAGGGTTTTAGATTTGAGTAACTGTCTTCTAATTACTTACAGAGCCACTCTCAATTAAACACAATATTTAACAAACCAGGAGGCCCCATGTTGCGATCATTTGTATAAACAAGTTGACTCTGTTTTGGATGCCCTGTTGGACTCAAGTCACATTATCCTCAAAGTAAATGACTGTTCAGGGTGTGACAGATCTGGAGAAAGTCTGAATGAGATGAAAATCATGGTCAAAATGAGTAATAACAATAATGGCTGAGACATGGCTTGTAATTATCCGTGTTCTTCATGCCTTTTCCAGAAACCAAGAGTGGCTCTACTGTGGCTATATTATTATTGTTATTATTTTGGAGATGGGGTCTCACTTTGTCACCCAGGCTGGAGAACAGTGGCACCATCATAGCTCACTACAGCCCCAAACTGCTGTGCTCAAGGGATCCTCCTGCCTCAGCCTCCCAAACAGCTGGGACTACAGGTGTGCAACCTCATGCCTGGCTACTTTAAAAAAAGTTTTTCAAAGATGGATCTTGCTATGTTGCCCTGGCTGGTCTTGAACTCCTGGGTTCAAGCAATCCTCCCCACTCAGCCTCCCAACTAGCTTGGATTATCTTCTGAACACATCCCATCGAGGTGTGCTGTAATAAGACGTATGTGCATACAGGTAACCTATGCAAGAAAAGGGCCCAAGAGTATAGAAAGGTTTCAAGAACATTTCTCCCAGTAATTCTACTTCTGGAATCTCTCTTAAGTAAATTATTCACATGAGAGGAAAATATTCATATATAAATATATTGATCACTATTTGTAATAACCAGAAATTAGAAACAGCCTCAATGTCCAACAATCAAGAATCACAAAGAATTTTTAATAATATAGGAAAACATTTCGATCAAAGTATTAAGTAAAAAAGCATGACACAAACGATGTAAAATTGAATCCAGTGTGGTACCCTAGATTGGATGCTGGAACAGAAAAAGGTCATTGGTGTCTCCATTTTGACAAACGTATCACAGATATGTAAGATGTTAATATTAGAGTAAACTGAGTGAGGCATAGATGGGAACTCTCTGTACTACCTTTGAAACCTTCCTGTAAATCTAAAATTATTCAAAATTAAAAGTTTGCCTAAAAAAAAAAATGTGAGAAGGAGGAGGAAGAAAACTGAAAAGAAACAAGTGAAAATGTCAAAAATGGGTTATCCCTGGATTCCAGAATCGTGGGTGATGGTAATTTTCTTGTTTCTAGTTCATAAATTCTCCATACACGTTGCCATGAACAGATATCACTTTTATAACAGGAAAAAAATCATGCAGTGCCATAAAAACCATCTATGGCCAAAGCTGCGGGCCAGTCGCAGCCATACCTTGTGACAATAGTGCACGGCGGAGACGATCTGCCGGAAGAAGTGCCGGGTCTCCCTCTCACTGAGGCGCCGCCGCTCACTGATGTAATCGTACAGCTCCCCTTTGCTTGCATATTCCATGATGATCACAATCTTATCTTTGTTCTCAAACACTGCAGAGGGAAAACAGCAATACACAAACACCCTGTTTAGCCAACAAGCTCACTTATGCTACAGAGAATGCGAGAGAGGACAACGGAGACGTCGCCAGGCAGAGGACCAATCAGTCAATTCAGCATCACGAGGCACTGGGTGTGCTGTCCCGCCAGGTGGGCAATGGTGTGTGTCACCGCCATTGTTCCTGGACACGCCTTTGTCATGCTAAGGGAAATGTGGTTCTCTTTTCTGAGGACCCCACTCTCCTTGTAAGATCATTCTCACAACCCTCTCCCGGAACGGCTCTCCTGTAGACAGAATAATGGGTAACAATAAACACTACTAATAATTTATTAACCATTGGATATAGACCAGGTACCCAGTCCTGATAGAGCTACTCTGACCCCAAAATGGGTGCTCAATCTTGTCATCTCTTTATAACTTCCCATCTCAGGCAAATAAAACCCAAAGCTTTTAATGTGGCCCACCAAGTTGTGCACGATACCATGGGCCCCTCTCAGCCCTACTACACATTCATTCCATGTATTTGTTTATTCTGTCTCCCCCAGTCAAATGTAAAAGGGGGTCATCCAGTTTCACTCACTGGTGTATCCTCAGCAGCCAGAACAGTATTTGGCACATAGTAACATAGTAGGAGCTCAGTTAATATTTATTAAATGAGTAAACTCAAACTACATAAAGGCATTTTTGAACATTAATAATAAATAACAATATAGCACTTTCTATGCACCAAATTTGTGTGTAAGGTTTTAAGTACCTCACGTGTACTGACTCGTTTAAACCCTACAACAAACGATCAGGGAAATATCTGTAATTTTACTGTTTGAAAGATGAAGACACTGAGTCCTACAGAGGTTAAGAATCTGGCACAGCCTGCAACCAAGCAGTTTGGCTTCAAAGATCAAGTGCAGAGCCATTAGATGGACGGCCTCCCAAAGAGCTGGCTGGAATCAGCAAGGCTCCGGCCCCCAGCATGGATGGGGAACTAACGCCGCAGCCTGCAGGGCTGCTGCTACTGTCATCTCAAGCCGGCTCCCGGCCACTAGGTCCAGCCCCTTCTCACTCAACCACCACACCACCAAGGAAACAGTCTCCCCAAATGCTTGTAAATGCTTCTTTCTCTCCAACTCTGATGCTCTCTAGCTGTGATGTTCAAAGACAGGGTTCCAGGCAGATGGCCAGGGACCCATGCATGGAGGCAGGGAGAAGGGAGGCCACAAATGACAGGCTGTCCAAAGCCACTCCATTGCCACCTGTTTCATACTTTGGACTTTCACATAAGATGTCCTTTGAGCAAGGATAAAATAAGCAATATTTGTTTTGAAATCCATCATCACTCTTAAGGGAAATAGTACAAAAACCTTTGCAGGGTACCCAAGGCCCTCCCTGAAGGTCCCCTGCCTACCTCCCTCCATCTCATCCACTTTTCTAGCATTTCCATCAGGCCCCCTATGCCCAGCACCCTAATTCATTAGCCAAGAATGTGCTCATACGTGGTTTCCACAGCACCCCTCCCACTGCACTAGTCAATACTTGCCTCATAGCACATGCAAACGGTGCTATGGTTTATTTCCTGGTTTACATATCCATGTCCTCTGCCTAGATGGACGGAGCTAAAAACTATAGTGTTGGAATGAGATACTCCTAGAGCTGTGTGATTCTAGGGATGTTGCTTGCCCTCTCTGGGCCTCAGTTTAGTCAACTATAAAACATGAATAATATTAGCAAGTATTTAGAACTGCTGGGAGGACTTCCTGATATCAGGTACGTTCAATGTTTACAAGGCCTTCCCCTTACAGCACTCAATAATGTTAGCTAGTATTGTTGCTATCAATACTAATTCATCCCCAGAGCCTAGCACCAAGGCAGACACACATTCAATGAAGAACTGAGTTAACCTGGAACCTATCCTAGGCCTGGGTTCCCTGTCCTCCCATACCTTGTTGCTGGCTGCTAGAAGCTCAGACCCCTCCAGTTCCTTTTTGGCTCCTTCAAGTCCAGCCAAACCTCCCTGATAAAATGAAGGGGAAGGAGGAGGGTAGGGAGGAGGAGGAGAGAACATCCAGATAAAATTGGCTGCTCCAGCGTCTGCTGGCCTCGGTGTACCCTGCAGCTTTGGCTCCTGCCAGGGATTTCAGCCTGTTGTGCACTTTTCATTAACAATAAACTCTGGAAACTGGAAACATCCCGACTGCCTCGGGATGCATGGCTCAGGCCCCAAAAACGAAAGAGTGATAGGCCCTGGAGAGGGCAGCGGGTTTTCTAATTTTAAAAAGAAGGGATGTAGGAAGAAGGAAAGTACTTTGACAGATAAACAAACAAGAAACCTCATACCCCAAAGAGTCTGGTGCGTCTTTAAGGGAGCCAAAGCCTCTGGCCCTTCAGTGACTATCGGGAGGTGTGGACCACTCGCCTCACACAGGCAGAAGGGCTGTTTCAACGGCTGGATTCTTCCCTCTCCAACTGACTGATTTGGTATCAAGGAGACGTAAACACAATTCGGCACACTACAGTCCAATACACCAAATATTTTACTAAGCAGCTTCCATCAGCAAGTCCTACTGATCCTATCTCTACAATATATCCCGAGTCCAGCCGGGCACGGTGGCTCACGCCTGTAATCCCAGCACTTTGGGAGGCTGAAGCAGGTGGATCACTTGAGGCCAGAAGTTACCAGACTGGCCAACATGGTGAAACCCCATCTCTACAAAAAATATAAAAAATTAGCCAGGTGTGGTGGCAGGTGCCTGTAATCCCAGTTACTGGGGAGGCTGAGGCAGGAGAATAGCTTGAACCCAGGAGGTGGAGGTTGCAGTGAGCCGAGATCACACCACTGCACTCCAGCCTAGACAACTGAGTGAGATTTCATCTCAAAAATAAAATAAAATATATCACAGATCTGTCTACCTGTCTCACCTCCAAGGACACCCCTTACCCCCATCCTTACTGGTTGCCAGCCTTTCACACTTGCCTCCCTGCTGACTGCATTTGGAGGGGTCAAGAAATAGTTCCAAATGCATATCCCATGGGGTACTCATTCTGCAAGCTGTCTTGAAGAAGAAAAGAATTCCATGGTCAAACACAAGCCAAACGTTAATACTTGATTGTCCTCGGAGAACCTGGTTTCCTTAACTCAGTTGATTGGGCCATTTCAGTCCTCCAATTGGCATCCAGAAGAACTCATATGGAGCCAGTTCGGAAAGCACTGGATGAATGAGATGATATCCAAGGGACAAAACTGGCCCCTCGCTCTTAGGCAGGGCCAGTGAGCAAGGTTGTCAGAGAACTGTCCAGGCGGCCAGGCCTGGCTCTGGGACACCATCCCCCAGTTCCTCATAGGAAGCAGCCCATGTCTGCCACTTTAAATTAACTGAGAGCAAACAAGATTCCTAGACTTCAAGCCTCAGTGTTTCATCAAGCAGGCTGGGGGTGTTACAGATGAAGCTTCTTGAAGGCTTTCTTAGTAACAGCAAAATTTGCTGTAGGCTTACCATGTGCAGGCACCACGCTAACAAGCATTCTGCATGAATTACATCATAAGGATTTGGTACTATGAGGATCCCCGTTTTACAGATGAGAACACCCAGGGACAAGGTGAATAATAATTCCCGTAACTACAAGGAGTACGAGGCACAGCCAGCACTGCGCCCAGCAGTCTGACTGCTGCCCCCAAGCTCTCAGCCACTCCATTACTACTCATCTATCTCAACCCCTCTGACCCTCGGCCTCCTCATCAGTCCAATGAGACTAGTAATTTCCTCACAGGTCTCTCGCCCTCAGCACGGTGCCTCAGCCAGTGCTCAACAAATGGAAGCTGTTCTCACAATTACTTCATCAGCCACTTAGGCAGCTCTAGCAAAACAAAACCCTAACACTTTCCTCTCCCTGCTGGCATCGCTCTTTAAAACATGTTGTGGCTGCCGCAGAATCACAGCATTTTCGAGCAGGAAAGGACCTTAGAGAGCGGGTGTTATTTTTTCAGAATAGTCTAGGATTTATAATGCATAAGAGCAAGGCCTTGGGAATTAATACTGAAGAATGAGCAGCTTCCGCACCCTTGGCCCAACGCTCCTTTGCCCATGCTTAAGGTCACTATCCACAAGGTGACAGGGATACTCTTGGCCATTCTTCTAGCAAAAAACGGCTGCTTCCCTTGGGCACTTTTACAACTGGTTATTTATAAGCCCAGAAATCTTGTCTGTGTTTATGTTATTAGTCACTAAGCAAAAGCTTATTTTCCACCAGTTGGGAAGGGTTTCCTTTCTGAAAAATGAAAGCCTGTGTCTCTTGGCCAGACAGTTTTACCCAGAAGCCTGGTGGCTCCAGAATGGTAAGGAAAACTATGGCCCTTGACATGCCAGGCCTACCAGGAAAATTAAATCCCTGAATAGAAACTTAGCTCAGCCTGAGTCAGCCCACAGCACTGGGGCCATGGCCAGGTGGTGCAGAGCCTGGATTTAGCACAGCAGAAAGCACCTACTATGCAGATGGCACTGGGGATACCGAAAGAAGACTGTTCCCAGTTTGGAGGGGAAGGAAAGGCAGGCCAGGTAGAAGGGTCAGCAAGAGGAAGGGAACAGAGCAGAAACAGAAGCACCAGCAACTGGCAGGGCCAGGGACTAGGAGGAGAGAAAGAAGAGGGCGATGAATAAAGCACAAGAACTTGAAGGCCCAGAGGGAGCTGCAGGTGAGCCACACAGGCAACCAAACATCACCGAGAACAATCCAAGAGACAGGAGCAAGGCACAGGACAGCATCCAGGATCCTGGACCTACGAAATTGTTCAGGGCTCAATTTTTTCCAGGAGACTTCCCAGACAGGGATCTCTCCTTCCCTAGAACGCTTGTAATAAGAATAGTTAACATTTATTGAACAGTTACTACATGTCATGGATTAAAACATTTATTCCTCACAACAATCTTATGAGATAGGGATCCATATTATCCCTACTTTATAAATAGGGAACCAAGCCAGGCATGGTGGCTCACACCTGTAA